ATAGAGTATTTTAATAAGTTTAGACTCTACAGACAGAAAGGAGTTTCTTTCTTTCTTTCTTTCTCTTTCCTTCTTTCTTTCTTCTCTTTCTCCTTTTTTTTCCCCCAGAGATTTTTGCAATAGGGCACATGCATTCACTGGAGAGAAAGAGAGAGACAGAGAGTTATAATTATCCCCAGAGGGTATGGTCACACCACAATTCCTTCTCCTCTTGGAATTCTGGGCATGCATGCACACGCATCTGGCATGAGTTTCAAGCAGCCAGGTCTTGGACTTGAACAACCATCAGCTACGTGGGAGTCCAGCCCCTCAACCACCATGGCATCTGCTGGCCCCAAAGGGAGTAACTTTAAAGTTATACCATCAAACATGGCAGTAGTACTCGTGTGCAAGTGTAGATAACTCAGGTTCATGAATTTTTTGTTTTTTGTTAGGAGCATAAACCTGTAGTGAAACTACCCTTAAAAACAATGTAGAACAATACGTTACCGTTTGTACACAAAAATGGGATTTATTTAGCAAAAGCACAGAATTTTGCTGGAAATATACCCAGGGATGAGGACTATGGGTGGCCCCATGTTTATACTTTTATAAACACATAAATAGTATCCATGACTATATGTAACATTGCTTTGTGCATTCTTATTATCTGAACCTACGTAAGTCGTAATGAATCAGATGAATCATTCCGTATCTTGTTTGTTCACTCTACATTTTGTCTATTTCTGTAAACCTATGTATTATCAAGCAAGCTGTACAGTCCAGAGAGCAAAGCGGCATAGATACATTTACACAGAAAGATCTCACCTCTAATCCTGTACTCTTGCCCCAAGTGAGCACCTGACTTATTTCTTTTTATACCTTTCCAGATTTTCTTAAGTGAACAAATACATAAAAGTTCTTCAAGAAGTACATGGAGGGACCAGCAGTTGGTGTAATGGCTATGTTGCTGGACTCCTGGACTCCCATGTAATTGACCACGGTTCAAGTCCTGGATCCGGTGGCTTAAAGTCATGGTGGGCACATGTGTATGCGGGCCCAAGAGGAGAATGAAGGAGAAGGAATTGCGGTGTGGCCATCCCCTCTGGGGGGTTAATTTCTCGCTTTCTGTCTCTCTATCTCTCTCTGTCCTTCTGGCAAGTGCGTGCGCCCTATACCAAAAACAAAAACAAAAAACTCTACGCAGAAAATTCAAATGATGAAAGAACTATGCATGGTGGAGGCCAGCAGATGGAGTGGAGGTTAAGGTGACTGGATCCCATATGGAAAAGTGTGTGGTCCCAAACCCAGGGACTTGAAAAACACACCGCGTGCATGTACATACGTGTCCAAAACCTGAGAGGAGGGAGAAATGAAGAAGGGATTACAACATGACTATCCTCCATGGTGGGTGGAAGGGTGCTTTCTCACATTCTCTCTTTCTCACATTCCCTCTTCTCACTTTCTCTCTCTCTGTCTCTCACTGGTGAGTGCACACATCCTCTGGCAAATTAAAAAAATATTAATGTCAGAGGACATACACATGCATGTGTGAAAGAGAGAGTAACACCCACCAATGGGTTCTGGTCATGTCACAATCCTTTTTCCTCCATTTCTCCAACCCTTCTCGATCCTGGGCCTATGCACATGCATGTCCACATGTCTTCAAGCTGCTGGCATCATGTAGGACCCAGCTCTCAATGCATAGCCTTTAACCACCGAGCTATCGGGTGGCCCAATCTTCTGGTCTTAAGCTTCTGGTTCGGGAAGATATTATCTGGCCTGGCCATAGGGCAGCTGCCTGACTTCATTCCTCCTGGCTGGCCAAATACCCAGCACCCAGACTCCAGATAGAGACACCACTTTGTCTTCCAGAGCAGGGCACTGAGGCTCAATAAGGAGCAAGGACTCTTCCTAGGAACAGAACTCAACTTTCCCTTTGTTGGCCACTTCTTCCAATGCCCTCAGGGCCCAGGTTCCGGGCTCAGGAGACAAACCTTACTTTGAAGTTAATGATCAGCCTCCAGGACAGGGGTTGAGGATGAGACTGCAGGAGTAGGTCCCATTTAGAGAAGCTCCCATCTTCAACCATTCCTAGCCACCTGGCCTACCTCCTCCAATCAGCGAGCTTAGCTGGGCTTATAAACACGGAAGGAGGTCTAAGCGTTGCAGGCGTCCTCCACCTTCTGAGCATTTCTGAGGACCTGGCCTTCCCAGGCTGTCACAGAGTTCAGGTACCGCTCACTACTGGGGAGTGGGAAAGAAGGACAGGAATTGAGGGTCTTTTGTGAGCTTTCTGCAGGCTCTTAGAGCTTTCCTTCTTGGTGGATTTTCCACTGGAGATCCAACAGCCTCGTCTGGCTTCATGGCCCCTCCTACTCCGGTCCAGCCTGGGACATTCCTTCAGGTGCTTGGACCTACCTTCCCTAAACTTCCACTTCTGTCCTTAGGCCGATGGCTCTACAGCTGCTTCTAAGCTGGGTCTTCGTAGCATTGGCCTCCTTGACCACCTCTCCTGGGCTGCCCCTCGGCAAAGCAGGACTCTACTTCCTGCTTGCCAGAGCGGCCCCTCCCTCCCACCATGGGCTCAGACAGCAAAGGCAGGCTGGGGTGGTTGGGGGCAGGAGTACGAATTAGGCCAGTCTTTCAGAAGTGGTAGTAGGACACCTGAGAGGGTGGTGAGTAAGTGGGGGATGGGGGGAATCTGGCCTTGCGACTACTGAGGCTCTGATCAGAAGGTTTTGGACATCTGTGATTCTGTGGCTGGAGGTAGCACGTGGGCTGATGAGGCTGGAGGAGTGATTGGCTGTAAAGTGGGAACGTGGGAGCCCTTTGCTCTCTGCAATGATCTGGGACAATGAAAGTACAAATTCCAGTCCTTGCCCAAAAATCAACTCTGCCTGGATTCTCTGGGTCTCTCTCCTCATCTGTGTAACATGACAAGGGTGTCGAAAATGAATCCCAAAGGATCCTGGCAGCGGAGCCTGCAAGATTTTTCTTTTTAAAATAATTATCATTTATCTTTACTTATGTACTCATTTATTTTAATTTGACCAGGCACACACACACACACACATACACACACACAGAGAGAGAGAGAGAGAGAGAAGGAGGAAAGTGAGAAAGCAAGCTGCCAGGTCTGGGACTTGAACCATGGTCAGCCTGTGGGAGTCCAGCATCTCAATCACCATGCCACCTGCCAAAAAAAAAATGGCCAAATACCCAGCACCCAGACTCCAGATAGAGACACCACTTTGTCTTCCAGAGCAGGGCACTGAGGCTCAATAAGGAGCAAGGACTCTTCCTAGGAACAGAACTCAACTTTCCCTTTGTTGGCCACTTCTTCCAATGCCCTCAGGGCCCAGGTTCCGGGCTCAGGAGACAAACCTTACTTTGAAGTTAATGATCAGCCTCCAGGACAGGGGTTGAGGATGAGACTGCAGGAGTAGGTCCCATTTAGAGAAGCTCCCATCTTCAACCATTCCTAGCCACCTGGCCTACCTCCTCCAATCAGCGAGCTTAGCTGGGCTTATAAACACGGAAGGAGGTCTAAGCGTTGCAGGCGTCCTCCACCTTCTGAGCATTTCTGAGGACCTGGCCTTCCCAGGCTGTCACAGAGTTCAGGTACCGCTCACTACTGGGGAGTGGGAAAGAAGGACAGGAATTGAGGGTCTTTTGTGAGCTTTCTGCAGGCTCTTAGAGCTTTCCTTCTTGGTGGATTTTCCACTGGAGATCCAACAGCCTCGTCTGGCTTCATGGCCCCTCCTACTCCGGTCCAGCCTGGGACATTCCTTCAGGTGCTTGGACCTACCTTCCCTAAACTTCCACTTCTGTCCTTAGGCCGATGGCTCTACAGCTGCTTCTAAGCTGGGTCTTCGTAGCATTGGCCTCCTTGACCACCTCTCCTGGGCTGCCCCTCGGCAAAGCAGGACTCTACTTCCTGCTTGCCAGAGCGGCCCCTCCCTCCCACCATGGGCTCAGACAGCAAAGGCAGGCTGGGGTGGTTGGGGGCAGGAGTACGAATTAGGCCAGTCTTTCAGAAGTGGTAGTAGGACACCTGAGAGGGTGGTGAGTAAGTGGGGGATGGGGGGAATCTGGCCTTGCGACTACTGAGGCTCTGATCAGAAGGTTTTGGACATCTGTGATTCTGTGGCTGGAGGTAGCACGTGGGCTGATGAGGCTGGAGGAGTGATTGGCTGTAAAGTGGGAACGTGGGAGCCCTTTGCTCTCTGCAATGATCTGGGACAATGAAAGTACAAATTCCAGTCCTTGCCCAAAAATCAACTCTGCCTGGATTCTCTGGGTCTCTCTCCTCATCTGTGTAACATGACAAGGGTGTCGAAAATGAATCCCAAAGGATCCTGGCAGCGGAGCCTGCAAGATTTTTCTTTTTAAAATAATTATCATTTATCTTTACTTATGTACTCATTTATTTTAATTTGACCAGGCACACACACACACACACATACACACACACAGAGAGAGAGAGAGAGAGAGAAGGAGGAAAGTGAGAAAGCAAGCTGCCAGGTCTGGGACTTGAACCATGGTCAGCCTGTGGGAGTCCAGCACCTCAATCACCATGCCACCTGCCAGCCCCAAGATTTTTATTTTTAATCAGACCTAAGCTTTCAAGAGAAAATGGGGTAAGTAGAGTTTGGGGGCTGGCCTTAGTCCTGTACTATTTAGTGACCTATTTTTTAAGTTTATTTTATATCTTGAAAGAGAGAGAGAGAGGCACCTTCAACAGTACACCGCGTCTCCCCTCACCACACCTTTTAGCTAGTTAGAATCATGGGCATGCACAAACACATGTCTGGCATGCTTAAGATCAACCTGGGATTTGAACCTCTGCTGTGAAGCTCTGGGATTGCAGTGTTGTGTTGTGGCCTACACCACCACAGCTGCCCAGGCCTGTAGTATTAACCTAGCCTTCCCACCCCACCCCCAAAGAGGCCTGGCTGGTGCTCACATGCAATAATTAACTGCTGAGTGGCCCAAACACAATCTCAGCTCCATTCCCGCTGCCTGCCCCACGGCGTCTCCTTGGCCACTAAACCGCAACTGCCCCCACATTAAGACAAGGGGGAGCGTGGAGCAGAGCAGGAGCCTGAGCCAGACCAGGGCTACGTCCTCTCCCAGGTATGTCTCTCCCCACGCCTCCCAGGGGCCCACTCCAGCAGGTGCTTCTAGCCGTGTATCCAGGGGTTGGCTGATCTGGGAAGACCTCTACCTGAAGCCCGGAGAGCCCAGAAGGGAACACTGAGGCAGGGACCAGGTACAACCTGCCCAAGGTTAAACCACAGTGTCCAGTTTGGATCCAGGACCCTCATTCTCAGTCCAGCACTAAGCTCTTAGCTCTTGTAGTCTGGGGCCCAGAGTGGGGTGCAGGGGCCATGGCGGGACCAGGACTGGAAGGTGAGATTAGGAAGGTGGGGGTCTGGCACAGCGGTGCAGGACACAGGAGAGGAAGAGCACTCAGGCTCTAGAGGACAGTCACAGCAAGAGAGACTATGCCTGGCCAGGTGGGGACACCCAGACCTAGGCAGCGTCTACTGCGGCACTAGGCAGTGGCTGCCTTGAGAGCCTCAGCAGCCAGACCTGCAGAGCAAAGCCAAGGGCACTCTGGCCTTCTCTGACGGCCTGGAGTCAGGCGTGGTGGTCCCTGCTGTGTGGCTTGGAGCCTGTCCCTCAGTCCAAGTCTGTCTGGCTCTGTGTGGATTAAACTGGCAATGAACTGTGTTTTTCTTCCTATGTTTAACCCTCAAAGGAGGAAACTAAGCCTCAGGACAGTTTGCTTCTATTTTGTTCAAACCCCATCCCTTGATCCACAGGACCTCAAGGGTTAAGCTGGAGAGGCTTTGGCAGAGGGGTTATTCCTGGAGGAGGTATCCCAGGGTTCCCACCCCTCACTGGGCCTGGGAAAAGTCAGGGGTGGAGCGGGCATGATCAGCCCAGGCTCCAGAGTGGCTCTCCCCCAGGGGCTGTGTCCACACCTCGAGGCCCCACCTCCACCTTCCTTCACTTCAGCTCTTCCTTCAGGGACTGACATGGCCCGGCCACAGCTGCTGTTCCTCCTGGCGTGGGTGGCCGCCGTCGGGGAAGCCCGGCACAGGTCTGCCTGGGCCAGGAAGGAGCTTCTCAACGTCTGCATGGACGCCAAGCACCACAAGCAGGAGCCAGGTCCAGAGGAGAAGCTGCATGGGCAGGTGGGCAGGGAGAGCTGGGCGGGAGGGGCTGGCGCAGGAAGAAGTCGGGGGACAGAAGCACCACACGCAGGCCATGGGATGGTGCACCCCCTAAGGAGGCAGGTGCACCCCTGAGGAGGCCTCTGGTTTGCCCTCACATGGGGACTGCCTGGCTCCTGCATGTGGTGTGCCAAGTGTGGTCGGTCCATGCCAGCGGCTCACCTTCTAGGCTGTCAGGCTTCCGTGTTACACAGATGAGGAAGAAGGCCCAGAGAGGAGCCTGGGAAATGGAGCTGGACAGACCCTCCCTGGGGGTGAATGTGGTTTGGGGGTTTACACTGGGAGTGGCTCCTCCAGGCCTCTGACATGAGAAACTGCACGCTGGGCACAGTGGCTTCTCTGCCAGCTCCAAACAGCTGTGAGGCGGGTGGGACGCTCCCAAACTGTGCCTCTAGCAACCATTCGGGCTGTGTTCTCCACTCCACTGGGCCTGAGGTCGCCTTCCTAAGGCAATTCTTTTCTAGTACCTTGTTAATACCTGGATCCTGGAGAGCCATACAAAAGAGTCAACCTGAGACTGAACATGTAAAGAAAATTCAAAGAAAGTAATTAGTAATAATTATCTTGATAAGAAAATGCATATTTCTTTTTGGAGAGAGATTTTTGCTATAGGACACATGCACTCTCCAGGGAGACAGAGAGACAGAAAGTGAGAAATCATCCCCCAGGGGGCATGGCCATGCTGCAACACCTTCTCTTTCATTCTCTTCTCAGAATGTTGGGCACCCACACACGTGTGCCCGATACAAGTTTCAAGCTGGAATTTCAAGCTGCTGGGTCTGGGACTCGAACTGTGGTTGGCCATGTGGGAGTGCCTTAACCGCTACACCACCTGCTCATTTCCTTTTAAAAACATTTTTAAAATTATTTATTTAGTTTCATCTATTATTATTATTTAAATTTATTATAGGGCACAGGCATTCACCGAAGAGAGAGGGACTGTGAGAAAGCAAACCTCCAGGTCCAGCACTTGAACCTCAGTCAGCTATATGAGAGTCCAGTACTTTAACCACCACACCACCTACTGGCCCCATGGAAATGCTCATCTTTAAAACAGTTTATTTATTTCTTCCATGAATGAGAGAGAGAGACGGCAGCCCTAACCAGGTCATTGCTGTGATCCATCCCCAGCCCGCCCCAGATTATGGGCACGTCTGTATCTGGTGTATGCCGAGAGGACTATAGACAGGAACCTGGAATCCTCCCGTGTGGATCGGAGTCAAGGAGAGTCCTGTTTTACTGCTGCGCTGCCATCGAGCCCCATTTTACTGCCTTACCAGATAGTGATCATAGCCCCGTTTGCACTTGTTTGGAATCACAGAGCCACAGCTGCCAAGCACACGCTGACCAATGGTGCTAGAATCTGGATCTTTTGAGCAGCCTTGACTTTAACTTGCCTTTTTTTTTTTTTTTTTCAGTTTTTTTCTATAGGGCATGTGCAGTCACCCAAGAGGGATAGAGAGGACAGACAAGCGAGAGGGAAAGTAAGAGATCACATCACCCCTCAGTGGGAATGGCCATGCCTCAATCCCTTCTCCTCCATCCTCCTCCTGGAATTTTAGGTGCACATGCACATGTAGCCGGTGTGATTTTCAAGCAACTGGATCCGGGGCTGAAACCATGGTCAGCCATGTGGAAGTCCAGCACCTTAACTACCATGCCACCTCCTGGTCCTACCTTTATTTCCTAAAGTGCACATTTGGCAGTTGGACAGTGTACAGTGGTAATGCTGAGAGGCTGACCCACATCAGAGTTCTGAGTTTGTGTCCAGAGACCTCCCTGTGGACGCTGAGGATGCTGGTGCCTGTGATTGGGGCTGGCCATGGCTGGGCTTGAATCCCAGCTTCAATACCCTACTGGGGCTTTCTTCTTTTCATTGGAAAAAATAAACTTTAAAAAAGGTGTACGTCTTGGGACCAGCAGTGGGTGTAATGACTATGTGCTGGACTCCCGTGTAGTCGACTGCTTTTCAGTCTCTGAACCAGTGGCTTAAACTCATGCCCAGTGCACGTGTGTGTGTGCTCAAGATCTGGAGAGGAAAATGGAAGAGAAGGGATTGCGGCCATCCCCCCTGGGGGGGGTGATTTCTCGCTTTCTGTCTCTCTGACTCTGTCTTTCTCGCGAGCACACGCACCCTATAGCAAAAACCTCTCAAAAAAAAAAGTGTACATCTTTTTTAAAAAAACTATTTACTATTACTGTTAATATTATTTTTCACAAGAGTTTTGCCAGAGAAAGACAGAGAGAGGGAGAGTGAGATAGCAAGCAGCCAGGTCCGGGACTCAAACCATGGCCAGTCATGTGGGAATTCCAACACTTTAACCACCATGCCACATGCTGACCCATAAAGTGTACATCTTAATATCTTACTTTCTACTATGTTCTGGGCTATGAGTTTTTTTTTTTTTTTTTTTTTTTCTTTTTTTTGTGGTGTTGTTTTTTTTTTTTTTTTTTTTTTTTTCATTAGTACCTGTAGGTTGAGTGTTTATTAGGGAGCTTTAATAAGTTCATGGAAAATGCACATTATGAGAAAACTATGTATGTATTTAAACATTTTTGACACCAAAACGTACCTATACTTTAATTCCCTTTCTCTATGAACTCTTTGAAATTTGCTCATATGCAATTAGAACTATTTTGCATTTACAATTTATATTGCATCCTACCCTCCAGATCTTTGTCACCTTCTCAATGCAGCTTAATCTGATCACCTTATAACACTGCGGAGTCCCCATCCTCTCCCCTGCCTCATTTTTTTTTTCAAGCAATTATCATGAGATAATTGTTCAGTGTTGTACCCCCAAGTCTTTGAGGAGTACCTGGGTTTGAGTAAGTAGAAGCAATAAAGGTTTGAATGAGTGACTTCTACAGTGACTGCTGTTCCAGGCAGGGGCTCCCTCCTGAACTCCACAGCTTCTAACAGCTGCCTTCTCCAGTCAGGGGCCCACTGTGGAGTATTCTCGCTGTTCTGGTACACTCAGTCCTGTGTCTTCCTCTACCCAGTGCAGTCCCTGGAAGAACAACGCCTGCTGCTCCATCAACACCAGCCATGAGGCCCACAGGAATATTTCCTACCTCTACAATTTCAACTGGGACCACTGTGGAAAGATGGAGCCTGCCTGCAAACAACACTTCATCCAGGACACCTGCCTCTATGAGTGCTCCCCGAACCTCGGGCCGTGGATCCAGAAGGTATGAGTATCCTGGCCCCAAGCAAGCAGAGGAGCTGAGCTTTGCAGACATCCCTGCAGCCCGAGCCTCCAGCTCCAGTTCTGTCCAGGGCTGGGGTGCTGGGATTCTGGAGCCTGAGCCCTTCTCTACCAAAACCTCCCAGGTGGACCAGAGCTGGCGCAGAGAGCGCATCCTGAACGTGCCCCTGTGCAAGGAGGACTGTGAGAGATGGTGGGAGGACTGTCGCAGCTCCTTCACCTGCAAGAGCAACTGGCACAAGGGCTGGAACTGGACCTCAGGTGAGAGGTGGGGAGAGGCGGGAGGGAAGGATTTGGAG